CAGCATGGCAGAGCCCCATCTGCGCCCACCCACATGAGGTCACCCACACCTTGCAGGCAGCAGCCCCGAGGCCTCGCCACCCCCCGAGGGAATTATTTCCTCCTCACACCTCGCCTCCGCCCCCCGTTTCACTTTAAAGCCGTTCCCCCTCATCCCACCCAAAGATACAAAAAACAACCGAACGATTTACGCCGTTTTTCACAGCTTCAGGCAAACGGCCGTTCGTTAAACAAAGCCCAAACCCCCCCAGGAAGGAAAAAGGGCCCACGGCGCCCGAATGCAGACACAAAGAGCCCCGGCCCCACTTACATTGCGGTGGAACTGAGTGAAGGACTGCACCATGTAGAAGCGGTGCATGTACACGATGGCGGTGTTGATGGTGAGCTGGGAGCTGATGGCGGCGTTAAGGAAACGCGGCTCGCCTCCGATCCCCGGCCGGTCCGCCAGCCCTCCCCGCACCGCCCCGCATCCCGGCCGCCTCCCCGCGGCCCGCTTCTCCCACCCCCACCCCACCGCCGATCCGCGCTCCCGCCCCGCCGCCGGCCCAGGCCCCAACTCGAGCTCAGGCCTCGCGGCCTACCGCGGCCGGATACACGTTGAGGCGCTGCCCCATGTCCTGCAGCAGGTTGGCGGCCTGCTGGCGGTACGAGAGCTCCTTGTCGGGATCCAGACCGGCTCGCCGCGAGGGGCTGCGGTCCAACTGCTCGCGGCTGAAATACCAGCGCCGCGCCGCCCCACCGCCCGCCGAGGCCTCCATGGCGATCCGCGCCCGCGCGCGCACGCACGCACGAGCGTAACGTACGCACTGACGTTATGACGCAGGGCGGGGTGCGCGCGCACGGCGGGCGGTAACGAGGCGGAGAGGGGCGACGCGCATGCGCGAGGGGCGGGGCGGGAGAATTGTGACGGAGAAAGTCGCGAATCGGAGGGGCGCGGCAGCGGAAGGGAGGGCTGCCGTAAGCGGAAGTGGGAAGGGCGAAAAGCGGAAGTGGTGTCTGCGGAAAGCGGAAGAAGGTGGGGCGAGGGGCGGAAGTGAGTGCAGCCAAGTGGAAGTGAGGGGGAAGATTAAAGCCGCACCGGAAGTGAGTGAAGCTGGGGAGGGCGATGCGCCCCGCACCCGTCCCGCCCCGCGCCCTGTGACCCCCCCGCCGACCTCTGACCCCCGACCTCTGACCCCAAGGCCACAGCACCTCTCGTATCAAAGCGCGTTTATATAATTTATCTGTACATGAAGGGGGGGGGG